TTCCCATTCGAACAACTGTCTCTCGGTCTATGTACAGGCTCCTCGTGAGCACAATTAAGTGTTCCAGAATACTCATACTTCGCAATATTGTCCATAGTCTGTCATGACCCACATAATCGAAAGCCTTTGCTTAGTCAATAAAGCACAGGTAAACATCTTTCTGATATTCTCTGCTTTCAGTCAAGATCCATCTGACATCACTATGAGTCTGAACCGACCTGGTAACACTTAACAGCAAACATGCTCTCTGGAAACCAGCAGGGCTAGACTTCGTCTATCATACTTGGGACTTATTGTGAGGAGGGACCAATGACTGGAGAAGGATATCATGTCTGGTAAAGTGGAGGGTCAGAGAAAAAGAGGAAGACCCCCATTGAGATGGATTGGCACTGTGACAGATGAGATAGGCTCAGGTATGGCAACAATTGTGAAGTTGGCTCAGGACCCAGCAGTGTTTTGTTTTGTTATGCATAGTGTCGCTGTGAGTTAGTTCCAACTCAATGGCACCTAACAATAACAACAACAGCAAACAACATTTATGGGTGGTAGAATTTGGGAACCTTTTTCACTTTTCTACATTATTTAAATTCTTTATAGTGAAGATACATTATCTTTCTCAGAAAACCTGTAAATTGTTTTCCTAAAAATCAGAAAAACAAAATCCCAAGGCAGTGTAAGAGGGATTCCCTTATGCAGAATACACAGAACACCTTTCTAAACAGTATGATTTGGGTTTGATTGCCTCACAGAATCTGAGATTCACCCAGTGCCTTCAAGCAGTGGAATCGGATGGAATCCCAGAGTGCCTCTCTGTCTGAACCCAGCTTCTGTTTCTCTCATTCTTTCTACTACAACTGCTGTATTTGTTTCCTTAGGTTTTTTGGTTTTGTGTTTAATGGTGTATTTTTGAGTGGGAGGGTGGCACACGAAGGTTGGGAATGGAAAGTTTTTGTTTTTTTCCTGTTTCATTTCAAATGCTACAATTCATCTGCTCCTATGTATATATATAGAGCGAGCATTTTCCTGTCCTCAGGCCATGTAATCTTTCTACCCCAGCTGAGCACTGTCATCATAAGTATTTGTATTCCTCTGGCATCCAAGCAACCAAAATGCTTTCCTAAAAGGACCAAAGTTCCCAGAGTTGATGGCACCACTCAGCGGAGAGTAAACCGAGCCTTTATGCGTTCCTGTCTCCATTTCACAGCCCAGAGTGGTGTGTGCTCCATGGTGGTTCATAATTAGCCCAAAGCAGCTGCTTTTCCACAGCCCCACTTTGTAACCTGCCACTGCTGTCAGGATGTAGAAATATTAAGTGCATTACGTTTCGGCTGAAGCACTGGCAGCAGGGGCATCTGACACAGACATCAGGCAGTTGCCTTTGTGGGACCTTTCTGGGTCCTTATTTATAAGGGTTTTCTGGGAATCTTGCCCACCTCTGGCTGCTGGGCAGAGGTGGAGATGGGGCAGACAGTCACCGAAGATGATGCGGTTTTTCAACACAGTGGGCACATGTGTAAAACTGGATCTACTCCACAAACGCTACGTGACCTCACCCTTTCTAGAAGACTGGCTTTCAGAGGGCACCAGGGGACAAAAGGAAATGAGCGCCTGGTCCCACTGGGAGACTGCAGAGGACGCAGGCCTTCTACACAAACATTGGGGGAAACATGCAGGGCAGAGCCAAACGTTAGTGATTTTCTTCAGGTAGCAAATGACCGCAGTCACATGTACTACTGGCTTTTTATCCCTGTTCACTGAAATGTCTCTATATCTTTCAGCATAAAAAGATCACTTCCAAGCACTGAATACATCAGTTATGAAATTCACTTTGTGATGGCCTTTGGGTTTTACTTCAACCATCACTGGGGTAACAGAGCAGGCAGAAGCTTTAGGAGACTGGGACATACCTGTTTGGCTGCTGATGAAGAAATCACTTTGCCATCTAGCAGGGTGAGAAGCTCGGCCAGGGCGGAGGGTGTGACGGGACTGGAGGAGGAGGAGAGAAAACCCGTTTCAGTTGAACACAGTGACCTACTTACAGCTGCTCAGACCACAGCAGTCCATTTTGTTGATTGAAAAGACAAAACCCACATCCAGGAACGGCAACAACAGGCCAATTGGGCTCTATTTCATCTTATTTATTTTCTATTTTAGGGTAGAACAAAATTTTGTGATGAGTGCGGTTTTTTCTTTTTTTTTTTTGACACCCAACAATAACAGCTGTTTGGCAGAAGTTGTAGCAACAGATAACTGCACAGTTTCATTAGTCAAAAAAAAGGAGGTGGTTGCAAAATTCATGAACTGTGACGAGGGGAGAAAAAAATTCCAAAACAAAACTCCAGACCCAGTAATTAAATACTTTCAACTGAAAAATCAATCTAAAATGACTTCAAACAAAATGGCTAACAAAGCCATTTTTCTGAATGTTTTTGTACAAACAGAATTTCCTTTTTATGGCATGGATTTTCTTGAAGGGACCAGAGACGACCACCTCTCTGCCCGCCTCAAGGGCGTCTCCACATGCCCCCTTCTCTTCTAGAGGCTCACAACAGCTTCCTGGACAAGAAGTCCCAGAAGTCATTATACCTACATATCTAAGACATGACTTCTTCACCAAGATCCCGTGATATCTAAGGTCAGCAGGCAAGCAAACCCAGCAAAGTGGCATAAATCACATTTGGGGATGGGATAGTGAATTGTGTAATATTTCTTTTAACATGTATGGTTTGATGACTTCTAAATATGTACAGACACTAAGCTAATGAAACTCTGAGGTCAGCAGATGGCTAGTTTTAAATGGGATGACATAAATAGGGCATTACTGTGTCTGTGTGAAGGAAGGCTTTGGAAATGCTTAACGCTGTTGGAAAATACCTTCAGTTTCCATCTCGACGCCCTTCATTCACTATTAATTTCTTAGTAATCCCTTAGGTAATAAAAAGGAAACTACATCTTAGCCCTGATGCCAAGTTCCATGAACTCCAAATTGAGAGTGTCCAAGTCAACGAGGTCTGACTTACTGTCCGACTAATTCAAGTACCGTGAAACCTCATTACTCATTCAAAACAGCCGGAGCCCTGAAGCAGCCCATCCTGCCTAGAGTGCTTGTATACCCCAAAGTATGGATAAAAGGGAGTTCCAAGTGGAAGCTGGGTTTGGAGAGCATCTGAGGTTATTAAATTGGTATTTTGAACATCTGTGAACCAGCCGGGTTCAATCTCAATAGGCAAAACGGTACAAGGCTAGGGATTAAACTCATGTCCTTGTTCTAAGCTCTTGCCTTTACTGACAAGTCATAAGGAAGCAGGTTTTTCTAACAAAAAACCACGTTGCTTTAATGTTCTTCAGTCCTAAAAACTAGCAGTGTCGATTATCTGAGTGTGCGGAACCCACTGTAATTGCTGGGGTTGGGCTGGATTTAGAAAGCATGCAAAAGACAACGTCCTTCCCCCACACAAGTCAATCATGTAGAGGGCTTGGGGGACAGAGAATGACAGAAAACCAACAGAGAACTAAAAACACTTGGCCTTCAGGAAACTCAACTGATGACCATAGTTTCATTTCATTAAGTCGTAATAAACTTCCACTATAAAGTATCTCCCCTGTTGGAGATTTTGAGGATTTCTCAGTCACCTTTTAGTTCCCACAGGGCCTGACATAGAAGGTCAGACAGTCAATAGTATTTGCACTACTGAACTCCCCTCACCAACAGGAATATCTGGTATTGTATTCGTTATGATTAATATCTGGCATGCATTCATTCCAAATATGCGTATGCCAGGGCTCAACTCCAGCAAGGCGGATGACAAAGACCAGTGCCTGACACAGTGCCCCTGAAAGGCCCCACCCTGAGCTTATTTAAGAAACCAGCAGACTCGGAGCACAAGTGCAGCAGCAGCACAGGACACTGACTTGCTGCTGTCAGACGATACTGCTTTCTGGACCCTGCATGTGTCTGCACTGAAGGAGTCTCGGACACGGCAGGCTTCAGCTCTGGGTGTTCGTCTATCTAGAGAGGACAGGAAATGGGGCCTTTCACACCTTCCAATTCCGTCCAGTCCCTTGGGGCTCCACCTCAGTTGGATTTTGGGAGCAGACACTTCACACTTCCAACAGTCACCCTGCCTCGACGTCCCCACACCTGGGAATGACTCAAACGTAGCGTGTCTGCTGCTGTGAAATGGAGCAAAGGCCCGACAGCAGGTGGCCACTGGCCTGAGACTTCCAGGTGGGTCCCGCTGCCCAGCAATTGCTTTGTTCACCTCACTGACCACCTAGTGTCCCCAGCCTGGCACCTGCTCCTCAAGTAATGGTTCTTGACAGTCTCCTGTGCACTCCCCCTCCAGTGCATCTTCCCACCTACCACTTCTCCAAGACATCTGTTGAGGCCCAGGAAGTTCTATGGCGTCCCCTCTCCTCCTGTTCCATCAAAACCTAATCCCTGCACCCATGCTCTTATCTCCATTGCTTTCCTCTCCTAAAATCTCACTCAAATGCTTGTTTCCTCTCTCTCTGCTTTTAGTTCCATACCTTCACAAATGCCCATATATCTTCCCTAGTTTAAAAAGGTCTTCAACTGGCAGCATGCTACATCCTACTTTGATGATTAGTGACTGGGGTCTTAAAAACTGTGAGCGGCCATCTATAGTACAACTATTGGTGTCTCCTCATCAGGAGAAAAGGAGAAAGAAAAACACACTCAAGAGTATTTGTAAAGGAAAGGATGTTTCCAAAGAACCAATGGATCATGTGAACCCCTACTTCCATGACCCTTAGATCAGAAGAACTAGATGGTCCCCCACTACCACTACCAACAGCTCTGAAAGGGATCACAACAGAAAGTCTTGGACAGAGTAGGAGAAAATTCTAGAACAAAATTTAAACTCATAAAAAAGACCGCACTTACTGGTCTGACTGGAAGCGTAGTGGATCCATATGATAAGCACTGGACTGTGAACCACAAGGTCCATGGTTCAAGCTCACCAGCCACGTTGCAGGAGAAAGATGAGGCTTTCTGCTCCTATGAAGATTTAAAGCCTTGGAAGCCCTATACAAGGTTCACTATGAGCCAGAACCAACAAGACAGCACTTAACAACTGGTGTGATACAGGCTTTAAACCTTTAGACATCCTTCAGACCTGGAACGGAACTCACCCTCAGGATCAACTCTCAGCCAAACAACAGGCAGATATATAAAGTGAACAATAATAACTATGAAGAACGTATTCCTTAGAACAATCAATCATACAAGGCCAAAAGAGCAACACTGGTCCAAAAACAAAGCTCAGAGGCAGGAGGGGCAAGAAACAGGACAAATGAAAGTGAGGAATCCAGAAAGGAAGTGGGAAGAGTGCTGCTACATTGAGGGGCTTGCAACTGATGTCCCCAAACAAGAAACGTATATATTGTAGGACAGAATTCTTAATTTGCTTTGTAAACTTTCACTCAAACCACACTATCAGCGAAGACTTCGCAGAAGTGGCTACAACCTTCCCTCTACATCCCTGGGTGGTACACAGTTAGTTGGCTACTAACTGAAAAGTTGGAGGTTTGAGTCCACTCAGTTACCTCACAAGGCCTGGTGAGCTACTGCTGAAAAATCAACCAGTGAAACCCTAAGGAGCACAGGTCTCCCCTGCCACACATGGGGTTGCCATGAGTTGGGAGTTAACTCTACAGCAATTTTGTTTTTACCTGACGTCTGTAAGAATTCTACCTACCTCTCCACAAAAGTCTTTCCTCCCTCTTATTGCTTTGCCTCAACTTTCCTCCTTCTCTGCTGGACAATGAAGCCCTTGGGGGAAAAAACAGAGCCTTCTCCTTGAACCTCCACCTGGCAGGTTCTTCTTCCTGCCCTTCGGTATGAATATTGCCACCCAGTGCTGCGTTCCTTGGCTCCCTGCTCTGACTTCAGTCTGGAAATGGTGGAAAGCATGTTCTCCCAAGGTTGCACCCTTAGTTTCCTCAGGTTCCAGTCCTTGCTACCCACCCACTAATTCAGTGATCTCCTAAAGGTCCCACTCAACTCTCCACCAAGCAAGTTCTAAACTAGTGGCTGATGAATTTGTTCTGTCAAGAGGTAGAAAGTAAATATTTTAGGTGGTGTGGACCACAGACGGTCTTGGTCACATATTCTTTGTTTTGACAACCAGTCTTAAACCACAGACCACAAAGGCAAGCCACAGTTTTCTGACCTCTGATGTAAACCATCACCACCCCACAGACCAGCTCTGCTACCATTCCACCCCACACGTTTGCTGTCTCAACTGGTGACGCCACCATGCTTCTAGTCATCTAGGTGCCAATCATCACAGTTTTTGATTTCTTCATCACCTATCACTCTGCATTATTAAACCCTAGTGAAGCTTCTTTCAGAGCCTTAATGATAGCCACTCCTACCTCTGTATTCCCAAAGCACCATTTCTGACGTTGCTGCTCTTGGATGCCACCCTACACAACACACTGCCGGGCTCCTCTTCCTGTGTTCACCATGTCCCTTCTCTGCTCAAAAGCCTTCACTGCTTTTCCTCAGGCCTCAGGAACTGCTGTCTGTAATGGACCTGGAATTTGGGATGCTCCACTGGGCAGTGTAGTTGTCTGACTGTATCACAAAATGCTTGTTCAGGGAATCTGCAACTCCCGCATTCTTAACTAAGTCAACCTGTTTATTAATAGCAATTTAAAATGAGTTCATACTAAAAACCACCACACATCTGTCAGTTTGGCGTACTAAGGTGGCTTGTGAGTTGCTGTGATTCTGGAAGCTATGCCACGGGTGTTTTAAATACCAGCAGGGTCACCCATGGTGGACAGGTTTCAGATGAGCTTCCAGACGAAGACAGACTAGGAAGAAAGAGTGACGAACTACTTTCGAGTATTAAGTCACTGAAAACCTTATGAATAGCAGAGATACACTGTCAGATATAGTGCCAGAAAATGAGCCCCTCAGGTTGGAAGGCACTCAAAATGCGACTGGGGAAGAGCTG